ACTGGCCCGGTGTGTTTCATGCACTTACCCTGGGGTGCGTTTGGGGGCAAGATCCCAGAGGAGAGGGGCCCCGGTCACCAGCTCGAGTCGGGGGCCCGTGCCGTCACCTGCCTCGTCACTGCAGTGGTGACCTCGGTCACTTCCTGAGGCGTGTTCGCCAGGCGTCCCCCGTCCCTTCCCACACTGTCCACTTCACAGACACGTCACCACGCCCTGGGCCCGGCAGGAGTGGGGTGTTGGGCGCCACGCCCCAGAACACCCACCCTCCTGCGAGGGGACCTGTCCTCTCCCCCACGGCTTCACGTGTCCCGCCACCTGTCTCCACGGCTGCGGACTCGTGAGTGTTCCCGCTCTCCTTTGAGCCACAATCCAGAGCGACTCTCTCCTTGGCTCCAGCGTGGGCCGGCTGCGCCCCACGCCCCTTCCACGTCCCCACGCCGTGCCCCTGCTGTTCCTTCCTTCACCACTGGGCCCCACGAGGAGCTTTTCCTGCCCGGTGCCGGAGTGGCCGTGTCCCCCGAGCCCTGGTCCTCCGGTGGCAGGTGGCGGTAGAGGCCGAGGCCTGGGGGCGGGGGGCTCGCTGCCCTAGGGGGGGGCTGCTCCCAGGCCCCGGGCCCCGGAGCGAGGAGCCGCGTGCACCCTCCTAACCTGCGTGACGCACACGGACAGACAGAGGCTGCTATTGGCAGCCTGCTGCGGGACGCTCAGCACGGTGTCTGCGGCTCGGACCCTGCACCACCCGAATTATTCTAGCCCCCCCACCCCACCCCTATCTGTCACCCGCACTCCTACAAGCCTGGATGCCACCTCGGTCACCTGCTCCTCTCTGGGGCCCCAGGAAGGCAGCATCTTGGCCGTGAACCTTCGGTCCCGGGAAACAGCTGGCCCCCCACATATGGGAGGCTGCCCCCTCAGCTCCTGCCACCTCCCCGCACACAGACCCCAAAGCCGCCGGGCCAGTGCCAGTCCCCTCCGCCCATCTGTGCCACAGGCAGGCCGTTCCGCTCCACAGCCCGAGCTCTGTCCCGGGGTCCTGCCGCCTCCTGAGCCGTCCTCATGCTGGCCCACAGCAAGGCCCCCTCCGTGCTGGAAGGCGCGGAGGGTTCCAGAGGGTGCCTGGCGTCCGGATGCACCGGGACGGTGCCGCGCACAGCCAGTGGCTTCACCGCTGGGGCTCCCCCACGGGAACCGGAGCCACCACCGCTGCTCCGCGGACCACCCCACAGCTCTGCCTCTTCCAGGGCGACCCACGGACGGACGCGGCGGCACTGGCCGTTCTTCTTCCCAAGCGCACTGCTCTCGCGCGGCCACGGACCTGGACGGCTCATCCGCCTCCGTCTGGGGCGCGGCAGCTGCTCCCTCCTCGTAGCTGGGCGCATCCCGCCACCCGCTCTCCATCCCCTGCCGCAGGGCATCCGGGCGGCTCCCAGTTTTCGGCCACGGTGACCACGCTGCTACCAGTGTCCTGCGCCGGCTCTGGGGTGGACGTGCGGCTTCAAGCCAGCGGCACAAGCCCCGGGGGCACAGTTGCTGGATGCTGTCCAGCCTTGTGACCGCCGGCCCCCATGGGCGGAAGGCTTTCTCGGCCCCACTGTGTGCAAGTGCCTTGGGTCACAGACTCCAGAGCCAGCCCCTCGAGTTAGGTCAGGGCCACCAGGGATCGGGACAGGGCCTGAGGCTCAGGGTCAGGGACAGCTGTCCCCTGCCTTCCTGCCCTAGTGGGGCAGCCAGTCCCTCAGTGGGGGGCTGGGTCTGATAAGTTTGTCCAGTGAGTGAGTGAGTGAATGAATGAGCGAGTGAATGAATGAGTGAGTGAAGGAGTGAGTGAATGAATGAATGGAGTGAGTGAATGAATGAGTGGACTGTCCCCTCTCCGTGACTTCCACTCACCCCCACGGGCAGCTCTGACCTGCCCTTGGGCTTCCACCTTCAAGGGCACAACCACCTTCCCAGGCCCCCTCCCGACCCACCCCCAGGGCCCCAGGCCCCGGAACCCAGGCCAGAGGTGAGCCCCCGGCCAAAGCTCCAAGGGTCCAGCCTCACCCGCCGCCCCCCCGGCCCAGGTCCCTGCGTGAAGGCCCCCCCCCCAGCACCAGAATGAGGCGGGAAATGGTGACTTCCGAGCGTTTTCTGGTTGACCCGAGCCCCGTACACCTTCCCCAGAGGGGCCCTGGGACGGGGGACTCCTGTCCTTGTGGGAACAGGGAACCTGAGGCCATGCACACAGTAGGGCTGCAGAGCCCACTCCTGGTGTCTTCATAAAGCCCGGGCCAGCCGCCCCTCCCCAGACCTTCTGATTTAATGGGCCGGGGGGGGCCTGGGGGCCAGGGTCCCCTAAAGCTCCGGGTGAGCCTCACATCCACGGAGTCGGCCCGCTGCAGGGGACACCGCAGGTGGGAAGGGACACGGCAGGACCTGGGTGGCCTTTCCCTCAGCGACACCAGAAGGGGGCAGTGCCGCCTCGCACCTGGGGCACCTGGGGCACCTGGGGCCAGGGCTTCGGTTCCGAGGGACCCAGGGCAGCCCTGACGGCCTGGGGTTCCCGTGGGTGTCCGTCAAAGCCAAGAGGTCGGGGGCCGGGCCGGGTCCTGCCCCTGGGCCCACCTTCGGCCCCCGGACCCCCCGCCCAGGGGTCTGCAGGCAGGGGTGCCTGCTGCCTGGGGCTGCGGCCGCTCCCGCTCCCAGCCTGCTCGGGGTGCTCTCTGGGCATGCTCAGACAAGGTGCTGTGGCTTGGGGGGGCGGGCAGTGGACGTGTCAAATGGGCGCTCTGCTCTGACGCTTGGAGTCTGAGATGTCACCAGCGGCTGGACACCCACTAGGGACAGAGTCTGGCCACTGTCCTTGGGCTCTGTCCTGGGCCACTGGGAGTGTGCCATGCTGGCCTCGCCCCTGTCCTGGCCAGGGTCAGTCCATGCTGCCCCTGGGGAGCCCCAAGTCTGGGGACAGATGGGGCCGTTTGGGCATGAAGGGGCTGGGGACTGAAATCCTCACAGAGGCCCCCCCAACACACCTGAAGTCCCCATGAATCCTCTGCTTCCGCTGTGTCCCTGTCCCTGAGGGTGGGTGCTGATGCCCCTTGGGCCCCACAGTGGCATCCACTTCTCTGACCTTTGCGTCCTCTGCCTGGTCCCAGGGTCTCCCCCCAAGATGCCCCCACTGGCCACACACGCCCCTCCTGCCTGCTGGGCGGCAGGGCTGGCCCTCGCCCAGCACCGGGCTCCCGGCCCCGGCCCCGGGCGGGCACTCAGCAGCCTCCCGCCCAGAAGCCCCGGCCCGCCCCCAGCTCCAAGGTCACGGACCCCACGCCCTGCTGACTTCGCTGCCAGCACCTGCTCCTGCCGGAGAGAAACGTGTCAAGCTCAGCATCTCTGGTCCAGGGTGGCTGTCCTGGGCGGGCGTCGCCATGGCGACTGGAGGCAGCGGGCATTTGCTTCCCTTTTGCCGCCCTCCCTGGGTACCTGCGCCACCCAGGTGTGCTCCCTGGGGGTCGTCTTGGTCACTGCCCCGCCCCGCCCCTAACGGTCAGGCGTCCCTCACCCGGGGGCCTCCACAGGGCTTGTCAGGAGGTCGGGACCCAGTCCTCCCAACACTGGTGTGTGTGTGTGTGTGTGTGTGTGTGTGTGTGTGTATGTGTGGGGGCTCAAGTGCCCTCCCACCCCCGGCCCTCCCCACCTGCAGCCCTCCAGCCCCGCCAGCTGTCCCCCCGCTGGGCTCGCTGGCTCACTCCAGGCGGCCATGCCCAGTGCCAGCGGGGGCCTGCTCAGGGAACGGGGCCACCGGGGACCAGGGCCCCACACGGTGCGCCCGGCAGAGGGTTCGGGTGTGTGGGAGGCGGAAGAGGCCCCTTGGCCAGGAGGAGACCCCCAATCCTCCCGGGCCCCCGGGAAGGCGCCCAGAGCACCAGCGTGAGAGGTTCCGTGACGGGAACACGGAGCAGGCCAGTCCCAGCAAGGCCCCGAGGCCCGTGGGGGGAGCAGGGCCGGCCCCCGTGGCTCCCACGGCCGACCTGGCCCAGGAGGTCCTAGCTGGGCCCTGCTGGGGGAGTCTAGAGCCCGAGTGGGGGTGGGGGGACTCGAGGCCCCCACGGCCCGGCAGTCAGCATTGGGCTCGGCTGCTGGTCCCACAGAGACAGCGGCCGCTCCCACGCCTCCAGGGCCCCGCTGGCACTCGTCACCCAGCCGTTGGGGGCCAGAGGGCAGCAGCAACGTGCAGGGTGCAGCCACCACCGGGGGCGGGGAGGCCGTGGGTGTCCAGTTCCACCCACCACGGGGCGCCTGGGAGGCCCCTCCGTCCCTACGGCTCCCAAACCAAGCACCTGCTGGGCACGGGTGGGGGGGGACATGGGAGCAGTGTGAGTACGCCCGTCTTGCAAGGAGTGTGCGTGCCCACCTCCACGTGTGTGTGCGTGCACACGCGCGAGCCCGTTCCTGGAGCACGCCAGGAAAGTCCCCACCTGACGGGCGGTTACCTGCCCCCAGCTGAGAGCGAGCGGCTTTCACTCTCAGCGCCGTCGGGCCGAGACCCCCGCCCTCCACGACCCCACCCCGGCTGCCCGGAGCCTCCCCGGAGGGTGAGGACGTCGGGCGCGGGGACGGAGGGCACTTGTCAGGCGGGACGGGGCAGACGGGCGCCGTGCAGGCGTCTGTGGGACCACTAGAGGGCACCGTTCACTTTGTGCCGCTGTCAGCTGCTGCCCACCCGGCCGGCCAGTGGACGCCGCGGCCAGTGAGGCCACACGAGGGCTGTGCCAGGGCTGGCAGGGGCCCGGGGGCCCTCTCTGGAGGCCGCCGTGTCGGCCCTGGAGCCCAGAGAGGGGCTGGCGGGAGGGCCTCGGGACACAGTGGGCCGGGCCGGAAGCAGCCCCGGGCGGCCCAGCGTGGGGTCCCGGCCCCCGTGGGGTTGGGGACAGCAGGCAGCCCCCCCCCAGCCCCCCGGCACTGCCAACTCCCACCCCTGGACACGAAACCCCAGTGGAACAAACGAGGCCCGGACGTGACGCTGTGGTTTCAAACGCTCATGTTCTGTTTCTCCGCTCACGGTTCTCTCTCTCCTGTCCACGGCCCGCAGACCGCCCCTTGTGGCCCGGCCCGCGGCCAGCGCCATGGACCAGTCAGCCCGGGATGGCATTTACAGTCGGAGCTTCCGGAGGCGGTGGCAGCGGGGACACAGCCCGAAGGCAAGCTCCCCGTGCGCGAGGGGGTGCCGCCACGCCGGGGAGGCCCCGGCCCCACCCCGCTCCGGTCCCGGCGGGTCCCCGAGGGCGCTCTCCTCATGCTGAAGCAGAAACACAACGAGCCCCCCTCCCCACCCCGTCTCGTCCAAGTATACATGACGGATAAAATTACATTTGTACAAAAATAGATTTTTTACCTTTCCCGATGCTTTAGACATTTCTCTTATCTTTACTCTCTGTATCTGTCCCCTCCGAGCGCCGGCCGCGCGTCCCCGCTAAGGCTAAGGGTGGGGACCGCCTGAGGCCGTTCGCGCCCACGCATCTTAAAATAGATGCAGCTCCTCGCCTCGAGATAAGTCATTCAAACCCGATTCACCAAAGGAGGGGTCCTTACGGACTTGCTCGTGTGAAGCAAATTTATAGGGAAGGGGGGAAAGTCTCGATTAAAGATGAGCAGGAAACGCCAGGAGCCGCGCGCGTGGGCGGTGGGCGGCCCCCGGCAGACCCTCCGTGCGGCGCACACGCCTGGCACCGCACTCCCGCGTGGGCAGGGCCGGGGCCCCGCGCCCCAGCTCCGTGACGGGGACACCGCCAGCTGGGGACCCGCGGGCACCGCACAGGAGGCGCCCGGCCTGGCCGCTCCCCCGCACCAGCCCGAATCCCCCGGGCGCGCCGAGACTTGAGACACCCAGGGGCCGGGTTTTCGCGGCGCCGCCGCCGCCGTCCTCCAGGTGGCTGAGGGCTGACTGGGGGCCGCGTCGGCGAGCGTCCTGGCAGGCCAGTTTCCGAGGGGCGAGGGGTGGGGCGGGCTGGCTTTGCCAGCACCTTCCAAGCACAGGATTCGGCCACGTCTCTGGTTCTCGGCCACGGCCGCGGGAGCCCCGTCGGATGTCAGCGAGGGGCGGGGACGCTGCCGGGTGCCGGGAGGAGTCCGGCCGAGTCCAGGCGGGAACCGGCACGGGGTGCCCAACGAGCTGACGTTAGTGCTATCTTTAGAAAATTAAAGATTGTCCCACCGATACAATAATGATTACAAAAAAATCACCTTAATTGAACCAGATTGGTATCACTACAGGGGATCTGGTTAAAGAAGAATTCTACCGCTCTACTGAGTAATGCGCCCCTTCCCCGGTCTCCCTTGTCCAGACAGAACTGCGTGCAGGGCGGCGGTGACCGCGGGCTGGTGGGGGGGGGGCGGCCCGGGGGCCTGGACGCCGGTGGGGGCAGGGCAGCCTGGGGGCCTCCCTCCTGCACGGACCGCCAGCAGGGCCAGTGCCCGTGACGCTCCCGGGAAGCTGACCCCCAACCAAGGACCCACACCTGGGTTTTCTCCGGAGCCACCCACGAGGCCCGGGGGAGGGGGGAGCCGGGCACGGGCAGCGGGTGCGTCTGGCTGCAGAAGGCACCAGGGTGTCGGGGGGTGGTTTAACATCCCCTCCGCTGGGGGGCCCCGAAGGGAACGGCTCGAGAAGGCCAGCACCGCTGCCCGTCACGACCGTGCCCCGCAGGGTGCCGAGACGCCCGGGGACAGTGCGAGAGGGTGGCGGGGCAGCCCCTGGCCCCCGCCTTGGACAGTGCTCGGGGGGCCGCACCCGAGGAGGGGGGCCTCTTCCCCGCCAGGGGCACCTCGTGCCCTCGGGGGGGACACCAACTTTGGGGACGGCAACCCCCCCACCCCGCCCCACCCCCACCCCGCCCAGAGCTGCTGGCGGGGGCGGTAGAAGGGAAGCCACTGGTCCAGAGCCTGCCCCCCGGGGCTCAGCGGACAGGACGCCACCCGCACCCCCACATCCTGGCCCGTTCAGGCCCCGTGGGGCTGGTGGGTGCGAGTCCAGCAGACGGACCAAGGGGAGGGACTGCAGTGCCAGGGGCCAGTTCAACCTGCAGCGGGGGTGCTGGGCCGCACAGGGCGCCCTGGACCAGAGTGGACGTGGGATGGGGTTCCCACTGAAGGCTCCACGCCCCCGACCACAGCCCGAGGGGCATCGGAGCCCGGGCGCAGGAGGGTGGCACTCAGCGGCCCCTCGTTCCCAGAGTCCGGTAGACAGAGCAGCCCCCCGAGATGGGGTCCCCCCCCCCAAGAGCCCCAGGCCGCAGCCCCGCAGGCCTCTGCGAGTGGGCACAGCAGGAGGGACCCGTCTGGGAAGGCAGCCGGGCGCCGTCTCCGCCAGGAGGGGGCAGCAGAGCCGCGTGGGCTCGGCTTCCAGAGCAGGGGCCGCCTCGGCGCCCGGGCCCGGGAGGGGGCATCGGAGGCCAAGCGGAGGTCAGGCCAGCGCCGTGTGGTGGGAGGGGGGGGGGTCACCCTGGGTCCGATGGAGCCCGGAGGGGCGGGAGGGCAAGGGTGACGTAAGCGGTGGCAACGGAGACAACGGAGAAAGAAAATGAGGTGGGGGCGACCACCGTCCCTGCAGCCAGGAGGTGGCCCCGCACCCGGCACAGCAGGCGGCTCCCGCCGGGACTGGCGGGGGCAGGGCTGTGAGTGATCTTTGGAAGCAGGACTGCCGGCCCCCCACTGTGCGGGAAGAGGAGTCTGCTGGCCCCAGAGCCCCTCGGCTTCCCGGGGAGTGGGGGGGTCCTCTGGGACAAAACACCAACTCCTCCTCACCCGTCCCCGAGAACCCCGATCGTGGGTGGGGCCCAGGAGGCTGGGAAACCGGGACAACGGTGACCCACACGAAGCTGCCCTTCCGACCTGTGGCTCCAGAGCCCCGGGGGCTGGACACCCCGGGGGTGCTGCGGCTCCGGGGACGGGGCCTGCGACCCCGGGGGCCGCCCTGCGCGCAGTCCCGGGACCGGACCGGCCTGGCTGGGGTCACACCAGTCCTTGCACTGCGGCGGCCACCCCGGGAAGCCGCTCCCGGCTGGGTCCAAAGACAAGCAGTATTGAAAATAACGAGGGTGGCAACATCTCTCTTAGGCTTAGCAGTGACAGGCCGCGCCCCCAGGTCCACACGGGCCCGCAGAGGAGGGGCGGGGGCGGGCTCGCCGAGGACAGCAGCGGGCGGCCGGCCGGGCGCCGGGGGCCTAAGTCATTTGGTGCGGGGCCTCCAGCATCTCCATGAGGAAGGTGTCGATGGGCGTGTCCCCGATGAGCTTGAAGAAGAACAGGTGCTCCAGGCACTTGAGGCCGATGGAGCGCAGGGCGGGCAGCCGCAGCAGCAGCTTGGCGAACCTGCGGGAGCCGGACGTGAGCAGGGCGGCCCTGCCCCTGCCCCTGCCCCTGCCCCCGCCCCGGGCCCCGCTGCCTCCTGGGCTCCGGCCTGAGCCTCCCGCCCGACCCCCCACCCCTGCACCAGCCCTGCCTGTGCCCAGCCTTCGAAGAGGCCCTCAGGCAGCGGAAATGGGGTGTCTGGGGACGGGCCCCGGGTGGGCACGGAGACCCCTCAAGAAGGCCCAAGGGCGGCCATCGGGCACGAAGGGCCCGTGGTGAGGCGGGGGGCCAGGCGGGGGGCCAGGCGGGGGCGGGCTGCCGAGGGCTTTGTGGGGAAGCCAGCATGCATGGGCCGTCTCCACGGCGATAGGGAGCCACAGCAGGGCTGCACACGGGAGAGAGCAGGCGGCCAGCAGGGCCTCCGGCCGCAGCGGGGAGGCCGGAGGTGGAGCTGGCCCCGAGCTGGGGAGAGGTCTGAGCTCGAGCAACCCCCACGCCAGGCCAGCCCTCCCCCCGCAACAGCTCTGCCAGAGCCGGGCCCGCACCCGGACGCCCCCCAGGCCCTGCCCTAGGAGGGCAGATGAGGCGCTCGGCCGGCGGGCCCATGTCCCTTCTCGGGAGGCCCCCGTCCGCCCCAGGCCCGCCCACGTGCTGTCCGGGCCTCTCCACTGGGACCCTCGGGGGGCTGCGGGGCCTCAAGGCCGGCCAACAGTGCCTGTGCTCGGGGGGCGAAGGCCCTGCGGTCGGCTGCCACGCAACCCGCATTTTCTAGGCAGAGACGCAGCCGCCAGCCTGGACGGGGGCCAGAGCCCGAGCCGTTTCTGCTGAGCTGGCGCGGCGGCCGGGGCGGGAGCCAGGAAAAACAAGCCAGCCTGCCGCTGCAGCCGGGCCCCGGCCCTCCATCCGGGAAGTCTCGCCTTAAAACAAACCAGATGAGCGCCCGGCAGCTGGCCGCTGTTAACCGTGTGCACGCCGGTCTGTGTGCGCTGGGGCGGGGGGGGCTGCTGTCCGGGGCCCCCGCCAGGAGGTGCCCCTTTCCAGGGACGGGGGTGCAGTCGCTGAGACGGCTCCCTCCTCCCGACATGCCGTGGGCCCGGCCCACCCAGGCAGGGGGAGGAGGGCTCTGCTCTGGGCCCACTCGCCTCTCTGCTCTGCGGGTTCACAAAGCACCTACTATGCGCTGGCGCCCATCCCCGCTGGGGGCGAGCCCCAAGGCCCTGCTCCGCTGGCCCCCGCGGGGGTGGGGGAAGCACGACCTTCTCTGCGCCCTCTGCAAAGGCAAGCACCTACTGTGTGCCAACACGGGGCCCTTCTTTCCAGTGGGGCTACAGGAAAATGCACAAGCGTGTCTGCACTGGGGCCGGCCGAGACAGGGCCCGTCCTCACTCGGGCACGCCAGGAGGGCACCACCGTCTCAGCACACAGGAGGGCCTGCGGGGCTGGCCGGCGGCACGCCGGCCCAGGGTGGGGGCTGGACAGGAGACCCGCGGGGCCCGCGCCGGGCAGGAGGGCGGCCCGGCTCACCTGCCCGGCTGCTCCGGGTACTTGTGTTTGCAGTACGCCTCCAGGGACGCGTAGACCTTCTCCCGCAGGGCCTCCACCTCGGCCGGGTTCGAGAGCCCCTTGGAGTCTGCAAGGAAGAAGGGCCAAGGGTCAGCACCCGCCCCTCCCCCCGGGGGGCTCCGAGAGGCGCCCCTCCACGCAGCACCGAAGCCCCCAGAGAGCACCTGCGGCGGGGAACGGGCGGGTCCCACGGGACCGAGGGCAGGTCCGCCCGTCAGTGACAGAGCGGACGGTCTGGGCTCCAGGCCCTCGGCACCACAAGCTCCCGGGGAGCCTGGCCCCTGGGGACCCCAGGGGTCCGGAGCAAAGCCAGCGGAGGCCTCGCCGGACCCCTGAGGGCGAGAGTGGCTCGTGGGGCCCTGCCGCACAGGGAGACCCTCTCGGGGCTGGGGAGGAGATGGCAGGGCCCCCCACCGCAAGCAGGAGACGCGTGGCTGGGGTGGAGCAGGCCCAGGCGGGCGCGGGTAGGCCGGCCGTACCCGGGTTGAAGAGGACGATGGCCCGCAGGCAGCCCAGCTCCGTCTTGTCCATGTGCATGTCCCGCATCTTGGACACGAGCTCGGTCAGGACCCTGCGGGTGGACACCGAGGGCCGCGTCAGGCCGTGCCCCTTGCCGGTCCCCTGGGAGTCCGCGCAGAACTCAGGGAGGCCGGCGTGGCCCCGGAGGGCCGCTGGGGAGGGCCGGGCCGACCCGCAGAACCGCCCCGACAGGGCCACACCGGGCCTGGCCCCTGCTGCCCCCGGGGGGCGGGGGGCGGGGGTAGGCGACAGCTCTGCCCTCTGTCGGGAGGGGTCTGCACCTGGGACTTCACCCGGAAGCTGCGGACCCAGGCGGCTGGTGACAGCCCTGCCCGCTCCAGCGGGCTGACACAGGTGTGGCCCCCACGGGCCGGGGGGCCTCAGGGTCCCAGCTGTGCAGGCGAGGATGAGCCCCGCCCCCCGGGCACGGTGAAACCTCGTCCACAGGACGGGCTGCTTCTGCTTTCCAGCAAGCTCGGCCTTCCCTCCCACACACGGGGCTCCAGGGGATGTGGGGGGGGGACCCCAGGGGCCGGGCTCGGGAGGGGCTTTGCCTCCGCCCCACACTCCCCTCTGAGTCCTGCGCAGGAGACCCGCGCACGCAGAGCCCACACCTCGAGGACCGGCACGCGGGCCGGGCGGCCGCCCCACCTGTCGAAGATGGCGCCCACGCCCGCGCTGTGGGCACTGTTCCGGTGCACGTGCAGCCCGGTGGCCAGCAGGATGCCGTCCTTGACGGCGATGGACCGGTGGGAGAAGGAGGCGATGAGCAGCTCGTTCCAGCCTGGGGGGGCGGGGTGCACACGCTCAGTGGCTGCCTCCCGCCCCACCCCCGCCGGCCCACAGCCGCGCCCCCCCACCGCCAGCACACGCCCCCCGCACCCACCGCCCCTGCCAAGGCAGCGGGTGTCAGCACAGAGCCACCGCCACGGGGACTCAAGACAGGGTCCCCAAAGGGGTCTCCATGGAGCCCTGACCCCACGAACACGCCCCGGAGGGGAAGCTCCCAGGCCCCCACGTCTGGGGATGACGCGTCCGAGGTGCCCACGCAGGCCCCGCACCGAGCGCCTGCTACGGCCGTGCAACCCGGGCGCTCCCAGACTCAGCAGCCCCGGGGTGGGTGGGTGGGGGGCTCTTCCTGCAAGAGCACACTGCTGGCCCCTCGGGGCGCCCGGGACAGCGCCCCTACTCTCTCTGGGCCGGCCGCTATTCCCAGCAAACTCTCGGAGGTCGGCGTGGGCCTCGTGGACACCCCCTCACCCCAGTAAACAGGCCTGTGGTCGGGAACAAGGCCGCGGCGCCCGGGTCAGGCGGCCGAGAAGCCGGAGCGAGCACCGGGGGGCTAAACAAGACCACCTCAGGCAGCCCCGCGCCCGGCTATCTCCCCGCTCCTGTCGCCGGGGGACACGGGGCCACTGGCGGTCAGCGCCGGCCGTCACAGGACGTGCCGCTGCCCTCCCTCCCGGGCGCTCGGAAGGGTTCCCGGCGGGCTGCCTCACGGAGCACCCCACGCGCCCCTGGCCACTGGCCCCCCGCGCGGGCGAGCGCCCCCCAGTCCGCCGAGGGGGGGGGGCCGGCACACTCACCCGCCCGCAGCAGGATGACCTGGTCGTCCAGCGGCAGCTCCGAGAAGTGCGGGATGCGCTTGGCCCACTCCACCAGCGTGAAGAGCTGCTTGTCGGCCGCGTGGCAGATGTTGGTGACGGGGTCATTGGGCTGGGGGGGAGGTCGGGGCAGGGGGGCGTGGTGAGGGCACGCCGCGCCCGGGCCAGGCCCCCCTCTCCCCTGTGGGCCGACCGTGCCCCCACAGACGCCCAGGTCCCCAGTCCCCGGGCCTGGGACGAGGGGGCCTCACACGGCCAGAGGGACCCCGCGGGCATGATCGAGTGCAGGGGGTCGCGGCGGGAGGTGACCCTGCAGGACGCGGGGGCCATCACAGGGTCCTCAGAGAGGGGGGCGGGAGGTCAGAGTCGGGGGGACAGGCGGGGACAACGGAGCAGAGGTCGGCGGGGAGAGGTTGGGGCTGCCGAGCAGCTGGAGGCGGGGCCCTGAGTTGGAGCGGGGGCCTGCAGTCCTGGGGGAGGTGGCGGGGGCGGGGGGCGGGGGGTGGATGCCCCCAGCAGGAGCCAGGCCGGCCGCCAGCCTGGCCTGACTCCGTGGGGCTGTGTTCAGACTCCGGCCTCGGGAAGGGCCGGACAGTGGAACCTGTGCCGCTTCAGGCCCTCGGTCTGCGGTCCCCTGCCAGAGCAGCCCCAGGAAGACCGTCGGGCCCCGAGTCTGCCAGCCCCACCGCAGGGGCAGGTGCCAGGTGGCCGGCGTCACGGACAAGGAAGCGAGAGGAGCTGGAGGCTGGGGCAGGCGTGGGACTCCGAGGTACTGGGGCCCGGCTGGAGGGCGCTGCCGGCTCCGCCCCCCCACCCCACCCACCGGCCCAGCTGCCTCTCCCTCCCCGGCTCAGAGGTGGCTCGGAGAGACCCCTGCCCAGCAGCCCCTCCCAGGGAGCAGGCCAGGCCGCCAAGGCGGGTGCACGGGTGCCCGCGCACCTGCGGCGGGGGAGGACGGGCGGTGGGGGCGGGAGGGCAGGCTGGGCCTGGCGCGGCTCCCGTGGGGGAGGGGCCGGGAGGCGTTCCAGCCCCATTGGCTGCATGGCCTGCAGCCCACCCCAAACCCCTCTGAGCCTCGGCCGTCAGCCCCACCGACGGGCCCCCCTGTGCCCGAGTGGAAAGGACTGTCCCTTCCCGGGGGGTGGACAGCAGGGCCCCAGGCAGAGGCTGGAGGCTCCCCCAGGGCTCCAGAGCTGGGCCTCCCGGGCCTCCCGCTGCCATCTGCGGGGAGGGGTCCCACGGGGAGCCGTGGCGCAAGGGCCAGAGGAGAAGGTGGGCACGTGGGATGGGGGGGATCCCGGGAGCTCCCCCACCACGCGAGGCCCGGCCACCCCCCCCCCCGGTCTGGGCCTCCAGCACCTCCCCCCGAAGCCACCGGGAGGGCAGGGGCCAGATGGCCTCCCACGTGACGCCCTTACTTGGCAAAATTAAAGGTTGGCAGCCCTCCCTCGGTCTCCCATTTTTTTGGTGGGTTTTTGGGGGTTTTTTTTTAGATTCTGCTCGATCATGAAACCCTCGCAGCTGGCCTCCCACCTGCCACTGGGACTGGAGAGGGGACCGAGGGTGGGGCCGGGTCACCCTGCCCAGGGTCACGGGGTCGCTGCTGGCGCCCCATCACAGAGTGCAGGAAGCGGGGGCCTCAGCCTGCGGGAGCCTCCTAAGCATGTAGGAGGGGACCCCCACTCTCAGATGCGGGGGAGGGCCCCGTGCGAGCGCCCGCCCGCAAGGAGGGGTCGCTGCCCCTGACCGAAGGCCGGTGGGCTGTCCCCGGGAGAGGACGCACTGGCCACACACACCGCCACGTGCCCGGGGCCCTGGAGGGGGCGATGAGGGCCGAGCCCACCTCCCAGGGCCAGGCCCACCTTGGCAGGGGCCCGAGGGGACCCCAGTAAAAGGGGCCCCTGGAAGCCGGAGGAGCCGGCAGGGCCAGTGCAAAGGCCCCGGGCTTGGGGCGGGGCAGGTGCAGGCCGTGCTGGGCCGCGGAGCCCAGGTGAGCTCAGGGCAGGCCCGGCAGCCTCAGGGTCGCCCCGAGCCCACGTAGGAGACAGAGGAGGCCCGGACACGATGCTGTCCCCAGACCTGCGGCAGGCGGGGGGGCCCCGACACCCACCGGACGACGGGCGGGAGGCGGCAGGAGGCGTGAGGCGCCAAGTCCTGCCTCCGGTCCCGGGGGGCTCCCGGGGCCCACGCTCCCCAAAGCCGCACGGGGGGGGGCCTGCCCCCACGGGGGGGGGGGGACCGTGGGCAGGCGGCACTCACCGAGTTGGGGTTCAGCCCCACGTTGGCCTCCACGTACGTCTCGGTCTTGGGCTCGACGGCCAGCTCGGCCTCCAGGATCTTCTCCACCGGCATGTCCTCGTTGGCGCTGCTGGTGGACTCCACCTCGCTCTCGCTCCGGTCCTTGCCCCGCTGCCGCTCCTCCTGCACGGCTGAGAACGGAGCGTGCCCGCCGCTCACCGACCCGGTCCGCGGGTGTGCCCCCCGGCACCCACCCCCGCCCCCCGGGCCGGGCCGGGCACGGCAGGGCAGACCGAGTGGGTGGCTCGGAAGGGATCCCGACAGGAACAGAGAAGGGACGGGACGGGCCACGGACAAAGTCAGGAAGGCTTCCCGGAGGAAGGGGCAATGAGACCGAAGGAGCGGGAAAACCAGGGACAGGGGATCGGGCAGAGGCGGCACATGCAGAGGCCAGAGCAGGGGCTGGACAGGCGGGGAGCCAGGAGGGGGCCGGGTGCTGGGGCCCCAGAGAGAGACACCAATGGGAAAAGGCAGCAAATAAATGGTTTACAGCCCTGGCTGGTGTAGCTCAGTGGATGGAGCGCGGGCTGCGAACCAAAGTGTCGCAGGTTCGATTCCCAGTCAGGGCACGTGCCTGGGTTGCAGGCCACGGCCCCCAGCAACCGCACATTGATGTTTCTCTCTCTCTCTTTCTCCCTCCCTTCCCTCTCTGAAAATAAATACATAAAATCTTTTAAAAAAATAAATGGTTTACTTCAGCGCTGTCGCCCCAAACACCCACACGGCAGAGAAGCCTCACTGGGGCTCCCGGGGCTCCTCAGCCCCCAGGACGCTGTGGGGGCCCGGGCAAGGGGACTCACAGAGTGCCACACGGAAACTCCTCTGCACAGGCGCCCCCCGCACTCCCCCCCCCCCCCGGCTGTGTCACTCAAGCCCGGGCACAGACCCCCGGGGAGGGCCGGGACAGGCAGAGCAGAGCCCGCCTCCCGGGGCCGTGCCCCCACCCACAAGGCTCCCGGCAGGAAACGGAGACACTCCAGAGCTGCAGAGCACCCGGGCCTGGGCCCCCCACAGCGACCCAGGACGGCAGGGCGGCTCACCCCGGCAGGAAAGGCGGGGGCTGGGGGCACGGGAGGGCACGGTCACGGCTGCCCTGGGAAACAGGACGTTCGACCCCTCCTGCCGCAGCCCTGGCCTGGCGGGGGTCCGTCCCATGGCCCAGAGCTGTAACAGGCCCCGTTGACACCTCCCCACCCCCACCGACCGCTGGGACCCCTCTGTGCCCCTCTCCGGGGCCACGGGGCTCCGAGGCCAGGCTCTGCGTCCTCCCCGCACCGACACCCGGCTGTGCAGAGCTGCCCCCAGGCCAGGGTGAGACTCCAGGGCCGGCCGGACGCCACCGGGCTGAGGAGCAAGCCTCAGGTCCGAGCGTTTGTGGGCCTGGCTCTTCCAGACAGTCTGACGGGGGGGAAGGGGGGAATGGGCGGGCTGGGCGGGGAGCTCACGCTGGCAGGCGGGTGGCCAGGAGCCTCGGGGCCCCAGACCCTCCGCAGGCAGGGGTGGGGGGGGTGATGGGTCACTCTCTCAGCCTCGACCAACGGGTCGCGTGCCAGCAGAGCTGACCAGGCAGGAGACGGCTACGTGAAGGACCTGGGCCGGCGTCCAGGGCAATGGGGACCCGGAACCCAGGCAGGCCGTGTCCTGGAGACCCCAGGAGGAGGTCCCCAAGGTCGGTCCCCGGGACAGGACCCTCAGCCCCCAGGGGCAGGACACGGCTGAGACGCACGCTGCTGGGCTCGGCCACTTCGCCCCGCCAGGTGGGGAAACTGAGGCTCAGCCGGCCAGCAGGGCGTAGCTGGGCTCTCTGGACCGCGGGCAGGCCACTCAGGGCGCAGGCGGGGCCAGGCCCCAGACCCTGCTCTGCCTCTAACAGCCGGGTGGCCCGGGCGAGTCCCTGGCCTCCCTGGTCCCCAGCATCCTCGGCCGAGAGCAACGGGGCCCACACACCCGCGTGCACGCCCGCGCCAGAGGCTGCCGCCTCCGCGCCGCAGCCCCTCGGAGCTCGGAGCCGGGGCACAGGAAGCGGGGGGGAAGCAGGGAGAGGCCTTCCTGGGGGAGGAAGTAAAGGGGCGGGGCCTCTCGAGCTTGGGCCGGGGCACCCCAGCTGGGGGCCAGGTCTCCCCTCTCCGACTGGGGACCCCCAGCCAGGGCCCACCTCCCGACCCGATCAGCCTGGTGGGGGGGCCCCCAGGCGCTGCCCCTCGAGCTCCAGCCGACAGGCCCGGGCTGAGCCTGGCGTGGGGCTGGCCGAGTGACACTTCCCAGCTGGGGGAGCAGTGTCCCCCAGCTCCCCCCAGAATGCTGCGCAACCAGCCCCTGGGGGCAGCCTGCACCCGCAGGCCCCTCTACCTCCCGGCAGAGGGGTCGCCGGCCCGCCACGTCCTCCGTCAGCCCAAGGAGGGGCGTCCCGTCGGCCCCAGCCAGGACCCCCTGTGCTCAGCCGGCCCAGTGCCAGCCCCCCGCTGCCCCTCCCGCTGTTCACTGGACTCTGTGCCTGCGTGTGAGCCTCAGTTTCCCCACCTGCGACAGGGGTGTGACCGCCTGCCGCGCCGAGGAGTCGTGAGCTAGCATGGAGACGCGTCAGCGGCGTGCGTCCCGCCCGGGGCCGGCCCTGGGGTCCTTCAGCTCACAACGTCCCACATGCCCCCAGCCCAGGGAACTCTGGGTGGGCGTGCCTGGCCTCCGCTCTCCCGGACTGCCACGCTGCCCCAGCCTGGGGCTAACAGCGCCGCCACGGCCAGGGAGTCCTCCTTGGTTCTCCCGGAGCAACACAGGGGAGAGGAGCCATCTCCATTTCCCAGGGGCCGGGGGGCAGTGCCTAGCCCCCGGCTACAGGCTGCACGGCGGGTGTAGGGGCAGGGGGACCCGTGCCTCCCGAACCCTCGGGGCCGCCAGCCCTGAGGCCGCGCAGCTCCCTGCAGGGACGGTGCTGAGGCCTCGCCGGGGCCACAAGCTGTGCCTCCCGAGGACGGCCCTGCACTGGGCCCCTCGGGCTCCAGGAGACGTGAGAAGCCACCACCTCACCAGAGGCCGCCTGCCTGGGGACAGAGCCCGCGGGGCTGCCAGGGCCGAGCCGCGGTGTCCGGGCGGGGGAGCGCTCTCCTGCACGCTTGCGACACACGCCCGGGGGTGGTGGGGGGGGGCAAAGGGCGGGGAGTCCCGCAGCATCAGGGGCCTGGCCAGCGGCCTGTGAATCAGGTCCCGAGGACCCACGCTGCTCCCGCAAACGCGCCCACAGCACCAGCCTCGTCCACGAGACCTGCGGGCGGAGGCTGGAGGGACGTCGCCCCCCGTGCTGGCCACGGCGCCCCCAAGCCCCCCCACCCCAGCACCGCGGTGAGTGGGACCGTGTGGGCACAGAGGGGGCGGGGCCCCACCAGGCCCCGTCCTCGGAAGGCACGCCTAACCGCTGCTCAAGACCGGCGGACGTCAGGGGCAGGTCTCCCCGGCCCGGCCACAGCCCCCCACAATGAAACGGGGCACCGTCCCCTCTCCCCCAGGCCTTCTGGGGACGGGAACCTGGAGTCCATGACAGCCGGGCTCTCACCGCTCACGTGAGCGGGCTGAGGGGACCTCAGGGAGGGGCCAGCACTTGCTGGACGAGCCCGGGACCGGGCAGCGCCACCCCCCCGGGGCACAGGACAGCAGCTGCCCCTGCAGCGGGCCACGTCACCGACGCCCGCGTCCTCTGCATGCACCACCCTCTGCCGGCCAAGCCCCGGCCTGACCCTCCCCGTTCCTCAGGCGTCCGCCGGCCACCTCCCACCCACCCGGGGCTCACCGGCACCCAAGGCAGGAGCCTCCCCCCGGCTCCCAGGGAGCCCCGCACCTCCAGGTCCTGAAGGGGGCCTGCCTGCTTACGTGGCACTCGTGTTCGGTGGGGGGGCGCCCGCAGCTCCCCACGTGCCCAGCCCCAGCGTGGTGCCCGGCGTGGGGCGTAGCACGGCGCCCAGCTGGAGGGCTGAGCTCAGGCTTGTGACCCAAGCCTGCTCCGGGCTGCAGGGTGGGAGCCTCGGGTGGCCGGCCTGGGTGCCCACCTTCCCCCTGGCACGCTGGCACCCAGCCCTGCGTGCCGGACACCAACCGGACACGCTGCCCACTACCCACCTGTGCCTTGCCCAAGGTTCTATCCTTCAGAACAACACTGTGTTCGCCACCTCCAGAAAGCCCTCCCTGACTACACGGGCCACCCAGGGGAACGGGGGCCGGGCACGCACTCCCTCGGTGGCCTCAAGAAAGGAGCTCGGCCCTGGAAGCCGGAGGCCCAGGCTCGGCCCTGGGTGGGACCTGGCGAGGCCGGGACACCCGGGGGCCTCAGGCTCTCTGCCTGCACGAGGAAGGGGGGCTGAACACGCTACGGAGCTTGCACCCCCAGCGGGAAGGCCCGGCGGGCACACAGTCTGCACGGTACCCCTCCGGGGTGCACGGACCCACTGCCCCTCGCTGCGAGCAGGGGACGGGGCCGCACCCACGTCACCCTCCCCCTGCAGCCTCGGGCAGGAGACCCTGTAGGACTGTGGGGCCCAGCCGAGGTTTCAGTATCTAGGCAAGAAGCAAACTGGGGCTGACGAGAAGCAAAAAGAATGAATTTGGGTAAAAACTGCAGCCACCACTAGAGGGCAATCAGGAGCTGCTGGGGAGGAGAGGGACATGGCAGCCACCGAGGGCCCCCGGAACAGCCACCGGGAAGAGTGCAGACCCCGAGACCCCTGCCCCACGGGCCCACCACCCCCACGCCAGCACGGGTGCCCACAATCCGGAGAGACCACGCAGCGTGCTGGGGCCGCCAAGCCTACAGACGGGGAAACTGAGGCCCGGGGCAGGAAAGAGCTGGGAGGAGGCCCCAGGGCAAGCCAGGAGTGAGGGCTGGGACCCGGGTCCGGCTGCACCGCTTGAGAACTCCAGGGAGAGACCTGCTGCCGCCCGCCCCCACGCCGCCCTGACCAGCGCCGTCCAAGAGATGGACCCCCACCCAGGGCCGGAGCCCCTCTGAGGGCTGCTCTAGGGGCCTGGCTGTGCAGGAGGAGTGGAGTGCGGCCACACTCCGGCGTCCGGCAGGCTTGGGGGACGTCGGGTGGCCTCCAGAGCTCCCTGCCCCCCGGTCAGCGCCGCCTCCACTAGGGCCTCCTCGGCTGCGCCCTCACAGGACGGCGGGAACACGGCCCCCGGCCCCTGGGCGCCCCCCATCCCTCGGCCCATTCCCGCCCCCGCCGCCCACCGCCAGCCCCCACTCTCACTGGCCTCCCCCTGCCTCTGCCTGGCTCCCTGGAGCCAGGAGCTGGACGCAGTCCCCGCGATCAGGAAGAGGGTCAGAGCAACACCCGTCCCCGGGGGCTGGCGGCCGCCCGAGTGCACGGCCACGGCTGTGTCCTCCGCGGCCCCGGAGCCGGGCGCACCGCAGGCACTCGGGAGGGCAGGGCCTGAGTGAGATCATGGCCCACGGAGCTGCATCGGGGGTGAGCGCCCCGTCGCCAGAGGTATGCGAGGGGCCGCCCGCCCCCCGGGGCCCCACGGTGCCTACCCTCGCGCTTCATGCCCATGGCCAGGCACTTCTGGTAGCGGCAGTACTGGCAGCGGTTGCGCTGGCGCTTGTCGATGAGGCAGTCCTTGTTGTCCCGGCAGGTGTAGGTCAGGTCCTTGCGCACCGTGCGCTTGAAGAAGCCCTTGCAGCCCTCACAGCTGTACACGCCGTAGTGCTTGCCTGCGGGCGGGGCGGGGCGGGGCCGGGGCGGCGGTGAGCTCCCCACCCACCGCCGGGCTCCCACCCCGGGGGTCCCGGGCGGGGACGACAGCAGTCCTCCCCGGGGGCTGTCGGGGTTCAGAGGCAAACTCGAGGGGCCCCCCAACCTGCGGCTCAGCCCGCAGAGGGGCACCGCCTGCGCGGCCAATGGCACCTGCCTCCCCCCAGTGTCCCAACAGCCTCTGGCCCGCCCCGCCCCTCGGGCCCCCCCCCAATGCGAGACCACGGGAAGACCCACGGAAGGGCCCGCCGCTGCAGCCGGCCTACCTGAGGAGCGGTCCCCGCAGATGGCGCAGATGTGCTTGGTGAAGGACGCCATGTTCCCTGAGGGGTGGGCGGGGACCTTGAGGACGCCATTGATGCCCAGCGGGGGCTTGATGTCCTCGGTGCTGCTGACGGGGTTCATGGGCGAGTTGAGCTGAAGAGGGGACAGCGGGCTCAGCCCCGGCAGGTGCTGCGGACCCGGAAGCACCTGCCGGCGCCCCCCACGGCCCCCCACAGCCCCACACACACAGCCCGTGGCGAGGACGGCACTGCCGCGCCCCTGCTTTGCAGAGACAGACACCGAGGCCTGCCCGCCCCAGGGCACAGTCAGGGAGCAGCAGGGCCCACCCCCGTGCAGCGCCCGCCGGGTGCCCCCCACCCCCGTGCTGGGCCCGGCTGGCGGGAGCTGCCTTGCCCTCGGGGCCCCACCCTCCCACGGCCAGCCCAGGCTTCAGGAGGGGCCCCCGCAAAGCCCCCGTCCCTCGCCCACCTACAGAAGAACCGCCTTCCCTCACTGCGCGCCCCTTGCACAGGACAGTGCGAGCCCCATGGTCCTCCCGGCGAGCAGGAGCCTTCGGGACCCCTGACACGCCGGGGGACACTAAGGCCCGGTCGCAGCGAGGAGGAGAAGGGGGGAGGAGGAGGAGGAGGAGGAGGAGGAGGAGGAGGAGGGCTGGGGCTGGGCCCACCCAGAGGCCACACTGCCCGGGCCTCGGGGTGGGGGCCGGGCAGGATCTCCGATCACGTGCCTCCAGGGAGAGGGACCCGGAGATGCCCCTCGGGCGTCCGCTGAGCGGGACGCCATCCCCTCGCCACACGGCGGGCTGACGCCGCACCAGAGGCAGCGTGGGAAACTCACCGGTCGCCCTGGCAACAGCTGCCGAGGCTGCAATGACACAGCACTTCTAGTTCCGCTGCGTCCGCCCCCAGCTCCGCCGTCAGCGCCGAGGGCCAGCGGTGCTTCCCGCCGCTCCCCGCCGGCCAGCCCGTCGCCCCGGTGCTGGGAGCCCGGCCAGGCAGCCCGGGGTGCCCCCAGCACCCCCACTTCTGCAAACCCCCGGCGAAGGCGGAAGCCGGGTGGTGCAGCTGTCTCTGGGGACGACAGCGGCTGCAGCTGCTGCCCCCTGGTAGCCCCGGCCCCTCCCGCCCCCGGAACCTGCCCCTTCCGTCCCCGCGGCCCCCACTCCCAGCGCCTCTCTCACGGGACAGGACGAGCCCGGAGCCCTGAGCGCCACGCACAGGCGGCAGAACCCCCCCCAACAGCCTCACACAGGCCTCCCGGCTGGAGCCCTTCTTCTGCCCGCCCCGGCCGCTCCGGGCCCTCCCTCCTCCGCCCAGGGGGCTGGGGGGCTCTGTGGGGACACCTGACACCCCCACCCCCGAGGGACGCGGGTGGGCTGCAGGGAGGCCAGGAGGCTGGTGGGGCGAGGCGTCCCGGGCCCCCGCCTCCGCAGAGCAGGGCAGCCCCGTGCGGTCTGAGATCCCACTGCGCGCTGACTGCAGGGGGCAAGGGCGAGTCCCAGGTGACAGAGGAGGCTAAGAAGGGGACGCAGCTGAGGGAGGGCGCCAAGGGTGAGCCAAGACCCCCCACGTCCCGTGCTGTGTGCTCCAGCCGTCGACGGCGTGGCCGCGGGGCAGTGCTACCCCGAGTCCTAGACATGGACATGGGGGCTCGGGGAGGCCGGGGGTGGCCTCGGGCGCACAGCACCCGGTGGCAGGGCAGGGCACGAGCTGCAGCCTCGGAGCCAGCGGGCGGTGACCCGTTCTCGCAGAAGGAACACGGAGACCCCTGGGGAGCTTGCCGGGAGCCCCTGGGTGCCCACCCGCAGAGCTGGCCGCCGGGGGCAGAGGCAGGAGGGCAGGGGCCCAGCTCAGCCTCCGGGCCGTCACCTCCATCCCCCGTGTGACCCAGGGGAGCCGTCACTCTGACACTGAGGTCCCTGGTGTGCAGAACTGGGTGTCGGGGGGACCCGCCACCACCCGGCGTGGCCGCACCAGCCTGGCGGCCCCATGGACCAGAACACGGGCGTTTCCCCTTCCTGCGGCTGCCCAAACCACGCCGGGCGGGACGGGGGCCACCTGTCCTGTCTCCCAGGCCCCCACGCGCAGGCCTGGGGGACTGACGCCTGCTCTAGGTAAACTGAGGCAGGGCTGAGGCGTGGGGGGAGGCTGACAGAGCGGCAGGCAGGTCAGCCACATGGGCCCCAAGGCCTCGCTGACTCCCAGGCCAGCACCGCGCTCCCAGCTGCCCGTGTGCCCTGTGGGCGACGAGGCCTGGGCCGCTCTGCCACAGTCCCCACGTGGCCACCAGGGCGAGGCCACACGGCCCAGCCGGCAACCCTCACCCACTCCTCAGCCGCTGACCCCCCGCCGGGTCCACAGCCCCCGGAGCAGAGCAGGGGCCGGCCTGCCCACCTGCGGGGATGCGGCCCCGCACCCCGTCTGCTGGGACACCCGGGGCACCTCCACCACGGGCTGGGAGACTCCGCGGTGCGGCCGGGGTGGGGGCCCGGCCCGTTTCCCCTTTCACATCCTGGGCATGGATTTCGGTTCCCGCCGGAGCCGGGGGCACTTACTGAAACCACCTCCCTCCTCGCCGGCGCCCCCACCCGGGTCCCCGGCCGTCTCTCCAGCCCTCTCCTCCACACCCACCACGCCCTTCCTTCCCCTTCCTTCCCGAGCACACGCACGGCAGGCCCCACCGCCAGCCCACGTGGGGGAGGCCCTCGCCCGCCCGTGGCCGACTGGACAGGGAGGCTCCAGGGCCCAGGAGCAGGCAGGCCCCGGGCTGCCGTGAGGCCCACTTGGCCACCTGGGGATGCCGAGTCAGAGGCCTCACGGCCACGGTGCCCGGAGCCAGGAGCAGGCGGGGCCGGCCACCCCGCTGGGCCTGGGCGGGCCCTGCCCCAGGGAGGCCCTGCTGGCTGGCACGTCTGGACACCGAGGCGCCCACGCAGGCCAGGTGCCGTGGGCGAGCTCCGCGGTGTGGCGCGGACACTCCCTGGGGGGCCCTGCAGGGGTGAAGCCCCCTGACCAAGGGAGGGGCGCGGGGCAGCCGCAGGGCCCAGGGCAGCGTCTGGCTGTGCCCGGGCCCCCACGCACCAACTGCCCCGCGAGGCAGGGTGCCGCAGGCTGGACGCGGGGGTGGGGGGCCCTCCTGGCCCGGTGCCCAGCGGAGCACCAGACCCCCCCGACGGCCGCAGAAGACAGAGCACCTCGCTGGCTCCAGCACCTCTGGCTTCAGGGCTGTGGCTTTTGGAGCCGGGGGTGGGGTGGGGTGCGGTGTGGGGTGCAGTGTCGGGGAGACACGCCCTCCTGGACCTCCTCCCACACCCCCACGAAGACGGGGAACCCCAGGTTTCCAAGACGGGCTGCGAAAGCCAGGAAGTCAAATCAGCTGGCAGGGAAGGCGCAAAGGGGGCAGGGGTGAGGCGGGGGGGCTGGGGACCAGGCCAGAGGGCAAAGGGCAAGCAGGAGCACAGGCTCAGACCCCGGCAGACCGAGTGGGGCCCCCCGAGGATGGACGGACGGACGGACGTATGGACCGGCGACTGAGCGGCAGCGAGCATCCAGGGCACAGCTATTACACCCCACCCCCTCCGGCCCAACCCCGCCCGGACCCCCGAGCCCACCTGAAGGGGCCCGGGCCCTCGGCTCGCGGGCGGCCCGCTCTCGGCCCACACCAGTGTGTGCCGGGGCCCCCGGACGGGCACAGGGAGCGGCGGAGAGCGCGGCCCAGCCTGAGTGTCCCCCACCCAGCGCCGCCCCCGCCCCTGCCCTGCCCCTGGCCCTAGGTGACCTAACGGTGCCGGGACACTGGGCGCCCAGGGTCCGAGAGCATCCCTGCCACCCCCGGGCGGGCACCCTAGGGCCCAGCCCCCCCACCCCACAGCCCCACTGCAGCCTCCGCTCCAGCCGCCCACTGCGGGCGGCCACCTGCAGCCAGCAGGAAGCTCCCGGGGCTCGGAGAGCCGGCCGATGCCCACCTCCGCCCGGGCTCCCGGTCTTCGTCTGCCCTTTCGCTGCGAGCACCGAGCAGCCAGCGAGAGGGGGTGGGGCGGCCACACTAAAAATAGCCCGGCCGGGCCCAGGAGGGCGGCCGGGCCTCCCTCGTGCCAGCACCTCGGGCCCGCTGCCCACCGCTGCGAGGCCGTGGGACCAGGGAGGGGGGGCCTGGGGGCCTGCACCGGTGCCCGAGCCCTCGGCACCCCTCCGCCAGGGGCAGGGGCCACCCTGGAAGGGCCGGTGAGCTTCTGCACCCCAGCCCACAGGGGCCCCGCAGACGGGCGGTGGGCCGGCTCCATACCCCACCGGTGCCCCGGCCCTCCTGGGTCGAGGGGGCCGCTGCCCTGGAGGGGGCGGGGGTCCACAGGGGGCACAGCCGGCACCGCTGCGCAGGGGAGCCGCACTCTGCACCCCCACCCCCCTCACCCCTGCAGGCCCCACGGGGGCGGGGCAATGCCACTCCACCAGGGACCCTCCTCCACCGCGGGCGGGCCTGACAGCTGAGCCGGGCCCGGGGCAGGGAGGGCAGCAAGGGCACCGCCTCTGTCAGGAAGGACAGCAGGACCCCTGGGAGGGCGTGCCCGCTGGGGAGCAGGCCGAGGTCCCCCGGCCGCCCGGCGCCCACCCAGCCGGACCCTGGCTCACACTCGGGCCGAGGCCGCCCGCCCCTCCGGGCTCTGCTTCCAGAGACCAGGGGCGGCCGTGACCGCCAGGGGTCCCCGTGGCGACGCAGACATCCTGCGGGTGACGCCCGGGCCGCGCCCCGCCCCCGCCCCCACTTACCTGGGGGCTGCCGGTGCCGAAGCCCAGGGCGGGCGTGGTGGGCACAGACAGGGAGTGGGGGCCCATGGGCGGGCTGATGACGGAGAAGGGTGGGCCCATGCCGTTGATGGGGGAGCTCAGGGTGCTGATGGGCGAGTGCAGCTGCCCCGGGGAGCCGAGCGAGGAACCGATGCCGGGCCCCAGGGAGGGGTGCAGCGAGGGGGCGGCCATGGACCCGCGCCCCGTCGGGGGGCTGAGGGACGAGGAGTTCACCTGGGTGGAGAAGTCTGCAAGACAAGAACGCACAGCGGGGCGGTCAGGGACCCGCACCAGGGGTGGGCGGCTGCGCCCCGTGCCCCCCCACCCCGCGCCAGAGACCTCAGGAGGCCACAGAGCGGGGCGCACCGGCCCCGGGCAAGGCTCCAGGCGCCCCGTCTCGGGGGCTCCCGAGACACAGACAGCCCGGCGGCCCGGAGCGCCGGCCCCTCTGCCCGCAGACTCGGGGGCTCCAAGCGAAGGAGCGGGGGCTGTAGACAGGGGCGGGCCGGCGGCGTCAGGGCACCACCCAGTCCCCGTTCGGGCGCAGACACGGGGACTCGGGGGAGAGGTGGGGGGACGGCCGCCGCCGCAGTTCACGGCAGGGGGACCGAGGACCTGTGTTCTCTCTCGCACCTGCCCTGGCTGGGGGGGGCAGCCAGCACTGGGGGTGGGGGCTAGGGGCTGGGGGGGGCACGCCCTCTCCCAGGGCTGTGGCCTTAACCATCAGGCCTCGCTGTTTGGGCCTGCGGACCCCTGGACCCTCTGAGACTCCCGGGCCCACGAGGGGCGCCTGCAGCCAGGGGCGGGGAGCTTCCGGGTGGGCTGCGTGGAGGGGCCCGCCCAGCTGTGCGCCAGCCCCGGGTCGGGTCGGGCAGGGCAGCCCGCGGAGGCTGTGGGGAGGGGCTGGGCCCTCCCTCCCCCCTGCCCCCTCTCCCCCCCTCCCCCACCCCAGCCTTTCATCTCAGGAATGTCAAAGCCCCCACAAGCCAGCCGGCGGCTGTTACACTCCCCCCCCACCCCCACCCTGAGGGCTCAGCGGGCAGAGCACCCCCAGCCAGTGAACCAGCAGTCTGTGGGCCCGCGCAGGCCACCGTGCAGGAGCCTGGGGTGGGGGGGCTCTGGACCAGCACGTCCTCCACGGGCCTCAGCCTTCCCGCCCACGAAGGGTCTCCCGGGCCCCTCAACCTGGCCCGCGCCTGCTTCTGAGGAGTCTAGTGCGGCCCCCACCCACAACCCCCCCGCGTCGGGGCACACACACCCTGGCTGCCGCTCCCCTCACGGCCACGCAGCCGGCGGCCCTGGGAAGACGCTGACGGGACCCCCCAAACCTCAGCGGGCAGGGGGGCGGAACCCCAGGCCCGGCGCAGGAAGGGCGCCCCGCGGGCCTCGTCCCCACGCCATCCCATGGGCACCGGGCACCTGTGCACGCGGAGGCTCCGGAGACGCACGCCGTCCCCTTCCAGTCCCCACTCCCGACCCTCGGGCCGGCCTCCAGCCGAAGCCCGAGCGAGCTCTCCTCCAGGGCCCCCTGACGCGTGCACGGAGCCGCGGGGCACCCTCTCGGCGGGGCGCCCCCCACCCCGGGAACACAAGGGGCTCTGCTGCCCCAGCCGCAACCCCCCCCCCCCAGCAGCATCCACCAGAGTCCACCCTGCAGCCCCCTGGAGCGCCACCTTCAGGCCAGGGCTGGGGCCCGCCTGACGCGGTGCCCCCCCCCCCCCGCCCGACCCACCAGCAAATGGGCCTCATCCGACCCGCCCGACACCCTCGCCATCCGAGGAACTGAGTGTAAACCGAGTCGCTGACCGGGGGAAGCGAAGCCGAAGGCACTCCGGAGCCAGGCACCGGCGGCCCTCTCCGGCAAAGACCCGCAGCAGTGTGGGACAGCCCTGTCGATCACCGGACGCCCCGGGCGGGCAGGAACAAGTGTGGACAGGCAGGGAAACCGAGGCACCGGGAAGGCTCACGCCTGGAAATCTGCGGCTGCCCCCCCAGGTCGGGCAACTGCCGCCGTGTCCCGGGCCCAAGCCGGACACCTGGAGCGCCCACCTCACCCGGCCTGCCCCTGCCCGAGTGTCCGCTTCCTGCCTGCACGGGCGGGCAGGCCCACTCTGCAGACGCAGGCCGGGCTGGCCGGGCTGGCCCTCCCCTCCCACCCCCACGGGCCCCAGAAGCACCCTGCACGTGTCCAGGGGCAAGACAGAGGGAGACGAGCTGGGCTTTGCTGCCCCCGCTCTGCAGACATCCCCAGAGCCCAAGCTGAGGGAGCAGAGGCAGCTGCTGGGGTTTCTGGGAAGAGGCTGGACCTGGCAGAGGGACAGTGTCCCCGGCCCAGGGGCGTGTCTGTCCAGAGACCTGAGGGCTGGACTGCCCCCGCCTGTCCCTGCCTGCCTCCTTCCCAGCCTGCGGGACCGCGATGGCCAAGAGGGAGACGTCGGGCCTGGGCTCTCGCGGCCTCCCCAGCTCTCTGCACTCTCTGCGGGGGGTGGAGAGGGGGTGACCCGGGGTGGGGGTCTGCACTAGAGCGGAGGGCCGCGGCACTGCTGGGACGGCCCCGGCCAGGCAGACACACCTGACGCGCGGTGGCCGCCGGGGAAGGGCCGTCCAGACACAGCGCGGGGGCTACGGGTCCCGCCGGGTGGGCAGGGCCTGGGCTGCCCGGGTGCTCTTTGCTGCTCCAGGGCAGGAAGGGGAGGGGGAGCGGGAGAAAGCCTGGCCGGAAGGAAGGAGGGAGGGAGGCAGGGAGGAAGGTGACCATCAGCAGCCAGGCTGCACCCCAAAACTCCCCCAGCAGTCCCCGAGGCACCGTCCACACCCAGCCCGAGGCTCGGCCACGGGGGGAGACCCCGTGAGCCCGAGGGGCAGCTGGGCTGGACAGCAGAGCCGGCTCAGGGAGGGGCTCCGGGAGAAGGAGGGGGCTCTGGGGGCGGCCCACCTAACCACGGGGGCCAGCTCCTCAGGGGCACCCCATCCTTTGCGTCCCGGGGTCAAGGGTGCAGAAATGGCTCCAGACAGGCTGCCCGGGGGCCCCTGGGGCCCCGAGTCAGGACCGGACGGCCAACCGCCCCCCAGGGCCTGCTCTGCAGGACCCCCGCTGCCCCCGGGTCCCGCCCGGGGCCTTCCTGTTTATACAGACCGGCCCCACGCGGACACTCTCCCCAGCCTGGGGGACCAGGGGCAGGGCGAGCTTTCTGCAGCCTCCTGGAGGGAGACTCCCGCGCTCAGGAGGGACTGCTGCAAGACGCGCCGGAACTGCCCCGTCCACTGGCCACGCAGCTCAGACCCCGGCCCAGCCCTCACCCGGCCCCGCCCACGGACGGGCAGGCCTGGGCCAGGGGGTGTCCTTCTGCCACAGTCCCTCGGGGCCTCGCCTGGGGCTCAGGGCCACACGCTCGTCTGCCCCTCGGCTCGGTGAGGCTGCAGCGCCCCAGACCCAGTGCCCGGGCCCGCTGACACCCAGCCCTCCCCACCCAAGAGGGGCAGAGGGACCTCTGAGGGGGTGCCACACCCAACTGCTGGATCCGGGCCCTGCAGAGCCTGGGCCTCACTGGGCCCCGAGCCCCCGCACCTCTGGCCCTGTGCACCCGCCACACCCCCTGAGACTGGGGGTGCCGTCCGTGGGACTGGCGGCCGGGAGGCCAGAGACGGGCCCCGTCCAGGCAGACGGGGTGCCCCGGCCACCCCAACACGGCGCAAGGACCTCCCCGAGCTGCTAGATTCAGCCCAAGAAGGCAGCATGGAAGAGGTGGCAGGCGGGTCTTCCTTGGCACTGGAAGTGTATCTCGGGCCACAGAACTGCCTCTGAGACGCAGAATACCTGGAGGCCGGAAACGGAAGCCACAGGGCAGAGACAGGAGGGCCTGGCACGGTCGGCGCCCCGAGCAGGCGCGGGGGCGCCCCCAGGCTGGAGGGCCAGCGCCACCCGCAGTGGCGTGAAAGCACAGAAAGCTCCCGGTCACTGAGCGTGGCATGGCCGTCGGCTCGGGGGTGAGTTCCCCGTGGCCGGGGCATGCACATGGCAACGACAGCCACCCCTCGGGACCGGCGGAGCAGGTGGCCCCCGAGGTCCCCTTGAAAGGGAAGGGACCCGCACACTGACCGAAAAGCCTGAGCTGTGTGGCTCCCTCCAGGATGCACCCCCCCGCCCACCCCCGGACCCTCCCAGAGCCCCCTCCAGGAAGCGGGGGAACCCCCACCCGCGCCCTTCCGGCCTCTGCCTGGCAAGCGGGGGAGGGGTGGTGGCAGGAAATGCCAGCCTCAAGCAGCCCAAGGGGGTGGGGGGGCCCCCAGGCTCGGCCCCTCCCAGGCAGGCAGGGAACCCCCGGTTCTTGGAAAGGGGATCTCAGCGCCCCCCCCCAGGCCCCTCTCATTGTGCAGGAGCGGGAGGGCAGCAGGGTCGGAGCAGACCACGGGGGGCGGGGGCAGAAGAGGGCACCACTCCTCTGGTGCAGGGGCGGGACGGGGGTCCACACAGAGGAACAGGGCAGGGCCCCGTGAGCCTTCCAGGAGGGCATGAGGGGGGCACTGAGGTGGAAAGGGGTGCCCGGGGGGGTGGGCACACAGGGGTGAGGAGAGCCCCCTCAGGGAGCCCGCACCCGAGAGACAAGAGCAGACCCCGAACACAAGGCCCACCCCCACGCCCCCCTGGTGTCGCCGCCCCCGTCACGGAAACCCTGCCGCGAGCCGCTTCCCGGGACGCCCACCGCCGGCCCCCGCCTTCCGGAAGGCCTGCTTCCCCTGCCGCCCCGAGGAGGGAGAAGTGGCAGCCGGCGGGGACTGCGGCGGGACCGCGGCGCGTCGGGGTTTGGGGGAAGCTGAGGGCGGTTGGAGCAGAGGGGGGCCCGTGGCCCCAGGCGCCCCCACCCCGGCACGTGGACTTCCGCCTGTGCCGCCCACCTGCTCCGGCCACCCCCCAGGAAGGGAGGCCAGCCCGGGGGCCTGTCCTCTCCAGCCTGGTGTCGGGCTGCGGCTCAGGTGGCCAGGCTGAAATTTCAGCTCCCCTGGGGTCACCCTGCCCTCTGCCCTGTTGATGGACCTGGCCTGCCCCCGCCAGGGCCCGGGGCCCTCGAGCAGGGTCAGCTGGGAGCAGCCGGCAGCCCGCAGGGCCGGGGCCCCACAGGAGTCCAGGGCGGCCCAGACCCACTCTGGTCCCAGAGGAGAGAGTTGTGGGGGTTCAGTGAACCAAGACCCACCTCTCCTCCCTCCCTGCCTGCCCCCACGTGCCCACAGGAAGCGGCTCTAAGGAATT